ATTTTGGTACTTTTTTCTCAATAAAATCAAAAGAAGGCGATAAGTTTTATTCTTGCTGATAAAAATAAATAAATAAATAAACAGGAAAATTTTATAGAAGTCAACTTTTTTTTTTTTTTTCAAGCCTGATCTTTAATGTAGCCCATGTCATTATTTGTACTTCTCTGCCAGTAAAAGAACTCTCCCCCTGCAGTCCCTACCGCATCAACGCCTCCTGTTCCGCGTGTGCTGCCTGGTGGAGGTGCAGGGGCTGTGTGAGCGTGCAGGACAGGGCTATGATCTGCCCTGGACTAGGGCTCTGCGTGTTCACATGGTCATGAACTAACATAAATTTGCATTGGAGGAACTTCGGGCTGGTTTTTTGGATGTGGATAGTTATATGTCTTTGTTTTATTAAATATTCTCTGTTTCAGGTTTAAAATACGAAAGATTTGAAAAGAACATCCTCTTAAATATGTGAAATATTTTAATCTTATAATTGAGTGTTTCAGTTTTGCTTTGAAGATACGGTTTTTTAAATTTGAAATAAGAAATCTTTCAGTAAAGACAATTCTGCTACCTTAAGTGATAATTACTGGCTGAAGCATGTTGATTAGTATAGATATAATTAACTTGAGCACAGATGCCTGAATAGAAATGCATGTTTCTACCTGTTTCATACATCACAGATACTTTCTTTATTTCTATATTTTTTTAATTGTGTTTGGCTGTGAATGCCCCTCGTGGCAAGTAGTTTGATATGTGTGAAAGCATACTTTCTCTGTAGTAACACATGGAAACAGTTTGACTGAATAAAATGAGAAGAAATTAATCATAGTCATTCTGAGCTTATTTGCTTGTTCATAGCCGACCTAATTTAGTCTGAAATCCTTAGGAGACAGTACTCTTTAATATTTTATAAATAATCTTTCCCCTAATAAAAACATATTCTAGGATATACTTGTAAATTCTGACTTGTTTAAATTAATATACATGGTTCTTCCTTGTTACTACTGCATAGTGATCCTTGTCTCCATGCAAGGCTGATAAATTGTGTGTATTTACCAAACTCACCTCTACAAAATGGACTTTAATAGAGTTGCACAATAGAGGTGTTTGTCCTGCTAGGTGTCAGAATCTCCACAATTTCTAGCATACAGTTTCAAAGAAGTTAGCTGCCTGGAAGTGATAAAAATGTGTTTCTAAGTCCAGTATACATGTGCAGAAGACAAATTTATTTTTTCTAGGGCAAGATAAATAAAGAGTGTGAGTTTTTAGGTTTATTCAATGTAAATAAGTTGTATTGCATTGTTTTAACCAAGCTGTGTTTCTCTCTTCAGTCTTCTGTGGTCTGTATTTTCATTTCATAATGAAAGGTATCATCAGCACTGCTTAGGTTTTACTCCCTTTGAATTCACTGTGTTGCCTGATCCTAAATCTCAGCCTGGTTATTTATTCACTGAATACATTCATCTAAGTGGTATTCGTCCAGAACTAAAGTATGACAAAATGAGAAAGATAGTGTTGCTGTTTAAGGAAAAGGTGGTAAAAAAAAAAAAAAAAAGGTGTGTTGTCAATCTAATGAAAATACTTTTGGTACCTTAATGCGCGTGACTTGGGTCATTGACTTCATTCTTTACCTTTTCAGTCACTATAAATCTGTAAAGTTTGCATACATTCTGTACTGTATGCAGCTATGTGAAAATAGAATGAAAATTTGCAAACCTGGTTGCAAATATTTTTAATTTTTGTTGCTTAAAATGAGTTATAGAAGACTTGCATTGTTTCTAAAAGAGCCTAAAGACTGTTTCAGCAAATGGATCAACGAGCTCACTTCTGGGAGATACTTATCTGTCACTTCCACTGAATTTCATGGAGAGTGCTGCCAGAAGTTCTTCAAATGCAAGGAGATTTCCAGTTATGGATATCATCCCGTATGAAGAGAGTGTGGGATGTATACAGGGCCATGTTTATCCTTGTTTGATCCATGTTTCTCCATCAAATGACTTCTTGTTATGCTCTTGTTTCATATATGGTTAGAAGTTATCTCCCTCATGTGATCTGAAGGGAAATCAGCCCTAAATCTTATTCTTCATATTAAAATTCTTGTTTTCAGTGTTGGGTACAATTTGAGAGGGCTTCTGGGAGGAGATATCTTATGGTGTTTACATATTTGATTTTTTTTGTTTGTTTGTTTAACTGAAACTGATGGAAAGCAGGTGCTAAAATGAACTCTTGTCTTGTTACATTGGCCTCTGTTCTGGGGTAATGCAAAACTGTAACTGCTCAATGTCATTTGTTAAAATTTAGGTGCCTGTCCTGAAACTTTCAATTACTCGAAGTTAATTTTTAGCTTTCAAAAAATGACATGTTTGGATTTATCAGAAATCGGATCTTTGCGAATCTTTTAGAAGAGCTAGGCCTAAGCCAAGCAGGAGATGTGGCTCGTTATTGTCACAAAGATACAGCTACAGACATTCATGAATTTTTATTGTGTAATAAACCAGATGTCAAGAAAACAATGTGGTTCAGAGTTCTTTTAAGAATATAATATTGAGTATTTCAATTTTATTTAGGATTGCAGTTTGTTTTTTTGTTGCTCAGAGTGCACTTGTGAGATTTAGTTACGCAAGTTGCATTGTATTCTGTTGGCCTATTTTATGCTTAAAATGTAACGTGACATGGTTGTTAAACTCATAAAATATTGGATCAGCCCAAGAAATCCTATTTTGCCAACTGGTTTTCTGACATCGTAACTGTTTCAAAAAAGAAAAAAAAAAAAAGAAAAGAAAAAAAAGAAAAAACCATCCAATAGGCATTTTTAAATAGACTTTTAACTAATTACAGAAAAAGCTGTGGCTAGCATGCTGTTCTCTCTCTTTTCCCATGACCTTCTAATTTTATAACTTTTTTTTGTATGTGACCAATTACAATATGACAGCAGAACAAAATAACATAATCCAAATGCCCAGCAGCTGGGACGTAGAGGTAATAATCCATGTCCTAGAATTGTGGAAAATAATGGGGGACAAGTTGTAGATAATTCACTCTCTACTACTTATTCTCTTGCTGATAGTATATCTGCTAAGTTTTGCTTCTCTTTTACTATTTTGAGCTATTACTAAAACTATAATGACATTTACTTTTGGCAGGTTGTCTTTTCTGTGACAGAAGCCAAATCGATCTCGCCTGGGTCAAAGAGGTGGACTAGATGACCTTCTGAGGTCCTGCACATTTTTTCAGTGATTTCACAGTTCTCACTGATCTTCCTGTACTCTGTCTGTCCTTTGGATGACAAGAGAGAGTGTTTGTTGTAGATACGTCTTCCCAATTATTAGAAAGAAAAGGAGCTTTTGAGATTCTGAGGAAGTGTCTTTACGTATTCTGCAGCCCTGTGAACCTGTTGAATTTCTTCTCCTGGTCTTCTCCCTGTCCCTTGCATGGGGAGCTTAGGCTTATCAAAACTCTTTAGGCATGAGAAACTGGTTCCCCTCCGCATCCTCATTATGTAAAAAAATGAGCTAAGAAGCTTTAGATTCTAGAATTTAGGAAGTACTTGGCACAGTGACTGTATTGCTGTTTGTTTTATTGTTCAATAGTGCAAAAGGTTGAAGAAAGACAAATGCATCTCTAAGAAAAAAAAATCTGTTTAGGACTTGCTTTTCATGCTTCATTTTTGCTGTGGCATGCTTATTTGATAGCAGAAATGGTGCAAGAAATGACTTGACCCTTATATAAAAGGGCAGATTTTGCCAACAGACCTAAAATGAAATCAACATAAAAATCACTGTGATTTTAGGTGATAAAATGTGTAATGTTCTGTGACTGCAGTGAAATTTTGAGAATTTGCCATTGGGAGAGTTGTCTGTAGATACTAAGATGGTGGGTAATTCTAAACATTTGGAACAGTATGAGTTGTCCTTTTGTTATTATTATTAAAGACAGATTATAAAGTAATACAGGATAAGCCATTCTCAGTGGTTAGCATTGCTTGAGGAATGTGCGTTTCTCCCTGTGACTTGATATGTAATGTTTTACCATTATTTCTTTCTCTTCTTGGGTTAGTTTAATGAGGACTCGTTTCCATTTCCTTTAGCTTCATTTCCAGATCATGTGATCATACTGTAAGACAATGGCTGTTTTTTTCTGGTATAAAAGTGACCGAAAAGCAGCATGGAGAGCTCTGTTCCAGAGTGCTGTAGAACTATGAATGATGATTTCTGTGATCTTTGGTATTGTGTATTGATAAAAAAGATTAAACATATTCCTTTGGTTTTACATCTAAGGAAAGTCAAAGTTAAATTATCGACCTTTTAATGTCTGTGTTGGGGCACAGTGCTGCTGAGCATCGAATACTTTCTGATGTTTATACTTTACTGGTGATTGATTATGACTTTACTGGTGATTGGGAATGCTGCGCAAGGTGAGTTCAACACAGGAACAAATTCAGTGCTCTGAAACGTTCCTTGTTACTTATTTTGGAGCAGTATAGCCAAAACACCGAAAGTAAAAGGAACTGTTGTCAACACTGTTCAAGTGTGTCTCCTTGATGTTTTATATTTGAGTAGGTATAGATCTGTCCTCACAGAAACCACCTAATATGTGTGTAGAGGAAAGTTTGAAAAACAGACCTCTCAGGTCTGTACACGTATTTACAATAGAGGTGTATAAAGAACAACACCCTTCTTTTTCTAAAGTGCCCCTCTGTGTGTAAGTACAAACTTCCTGATTCTAAACAAGTAGAAGACCTATTTTAAAACTTTTTTTTCCTGACTACACCTATTTGGTATAGAGTGGTGAAGCCTTGGAACAGGCTGCGCAGGGAAGTGGTGGAGTCCTCGTCCCTGGCAGTGCTCACAAATCACATAGATGAGGTGCTTAGGGACGCGGTTTAGCAGGCAGCGTGTTCAGGGGCCTACGGTTGGACTCGGTGATCTTGAAGGTCTTTTCCAGCCATAATGATTCTATAATTCTATGATGATAATAAACACTTAAGGCTCCTTTTGTATTGTGTTTCACAGGCAGCAGGAGCAATTCGTCCTCTAGTTTCTACTGTTATTGCTGCTTCTGCTGATGGCTGCTTAGACCACTCATTGGAACGGGCCCGGTACAGAGCAAGTGAAATGCCTCAGGCTTTCTTGTTTGATGTAATCTACCAAGCATACCAGCAGGTAAGCCTTTGAGTTTTCTGCAATTTTTTTCATCCATTTATTATTGGTAAAGAGAATTTAAGTTTGCTTCTTTCAAAAACAGAGATTCAACATCTTCTTCAGATCATATCAAATTGTATGTGTATTGTTTCTCTGCAGTCTTTTGATGACAATGCTTTGTCATTTTCATCTATTCATTTTTTCAATTACCTTACTGTGAAATGAATGTGATAATTTGGGACTTTTAGATAATGAACAGAATTATTATTCAAGCCTAATGGAACATGCTGAAATGTGTATTTTTTATATTGAGTTACATTTCCTGATGGTTCTATTGTAGCAAATGAATTCACATTACCAGAGGCTCTACCCTTCAAAACATACATATGTATTTTATAAGTGCATTCTGCTTCTTACAGCCTTAATTTACTACTCTTTTCTATAAAACCAGTGCTTTGTAGATAATTAAGTTTTCTAAAATAACTTTATATTATTTTTGATCACTTTCTTGTGTTCATTGTAATTTCTGCCTCTTGCATCTTTTTTCCTGTAATGCAGTTGTTTTTTTTTCTTTTCACTTCATATGAAGATGAGTCGAGCAAAAATTCTCTGTTTAGCTTGCTTTGATTTTATTGCACATTCCATAAAATACTTAAATAAGTGGTCTAAAATGCTTAAAGTTAGGTATGTATTGTTGCCTTAGAGTTTCTTGAGTAAAAGAGTCTTGGAGAAAAAATTATGATAATGGCATATATAGTGGGACACTGGCAATATTTGGATGATATTAATTTGACTTATTTAGTAAGTAAGTTCAACGTTTCATGTTGAATGTGTTACAATAAGTGATTGTTTTGCACATACTTTGAATGGCTGAATATTAGTCTCTTTGTTAATTCACTCTTTTTTCTAATATAGTATTATAAAATAATCTTTTTTAAAAAAAGGAGGTGGGGAGGGAGTTGTCTGGTAGTGGGTGGCTGTTTTGCCTGTATTCCCCTGGTGGCTGCCTGCGTTTGCCCCACCCTGCGTTCACAGCTTACTGGAAGCGCTCCAGGCTTTCGTCTCAGCCTCCACTTCCTTTTCATTCATCACCTTGTGGAAATTGTCTGTCCTCCAGGTATCTTCCAGGTTGACTAGAAGCAGAGCATTTCTTTATTTGAGAGTTGGAAGGAATTATTTTTCATGGCACTAATGCTGACAGTCTTGCTTCCCATCAGTCTTTCATTTCTGTAGTAAACAAGCCCAAATTGGTATCTACCTCCAGCAAGTGCGTAGCTGAGGAGTTAACATTGCCAGAACAAATGTCTGGACTGCCCGTGAGGAAGAAACGATTAGTTACTTGTTCAGTAATTGGCGAAATTTGCACCTCATACACTTCATGTTTTATGTCTGAATTTATTCTCAGATGATGAAGATGAAGGGCTTTTCAAGATGAAGAGCTACTCAACTAATTGGAGTAACTCCAAACTTCTTGCTTCTGATGAGGAGCAGGGGAATGTTGGTGCATTGTTGCAATGCAAATAATTCTAGTGAAGGTCTGTCTTGATGCAGGGGGCATGTGTGTGCCCATAGCATCATGTAGGTGCCTAAAGCACATCTCAAGAGGCAACAGCTACTGTTGTTTGTACAACCTTTTCTTTCTTGTTGATGTGCATCTGTTTTGACAAATTAAATGTTTATACACTGTTTCTGAAGGGGGGGAAAAAAAGCATACTATTTTTTTCCTACTATGTTTACTGTTAGTTTGCAGATACAATGGGGCTGGCAAATATGTAAAAAGCTGTGTCCCTCAATGCCTTGCTCAGAAGACAACTCTATTTACAATCCGTGTGCTCCTCTGAATACTGAGTGCTCTTGTCTCACATATGCATTCCATCAATCTCTTTTTTGAATGCCTGCTCTTTCAAGAGCAAGCCACCAAAGTTGTTAGCGAGCAACCAAGGCTAAGGTTCCATGTCCCCAGTTCCCTTTGCATTGGCGAAATTCTGGTCATTGGAATGCTCTGTGCCTTGGAGCTCTGGGAAGGGTAGCACTTTGCTAAACCTCTCAGCTCATATTGTTTGCTGATTATTTATGTTTCAATGGTGCCTAGCTGTCCAAGTCAAGGATTGAGACCCTATTGTTTAGGGAACTGTACAAATAAATAACAAAAGATAGATTATCATTGTCCTGAAGAACTTAGTCAAGCTACTGTAGGACACGTTTTTGTAGGACTGGATACAGCTCAGGATACTTCGTAAATGTTAATACACAACGCTATAAGTTCCCACAACAACCTTGTGAAGTAGGTAAGTATCTTTATACAGATAAACAAAAAGAGATAAAATACTTTTGTTAGGTTGCAAGTGCTTTGCAAGACTGGCAGTGGAATTCAGTTCATCTGACTTTGCTTGTGATCGTGATCTCGCCTCTGCGTAGTTTACAGAGTGGTGATGTTTATGCAACAACAGTGAGGGAGAAAAACACTGGTCAAAGATACATTTCTTGGAAAGAAACTGTCCATTTGAATTTTTGCTCAGATAACACAGGCTTTTCAGTTGCATTGAGAGTAATGTAGAATACTGCTATTACAACTCTCTATTTAAATGCATCATCTACTTTGGATTGGTGGATTTAGACTTCAATCCTAACGTTTTTAATATATGTTCTTTTTAATGAATATGTCATCTCTGGGTGTCTTAACCACTGTGTTAAGATACTGTTTTTGCTTTTCTTCACTGGCATGAAACTGAGCAGAGCAGGGCTAGTTTTCTTATACTTTATAGTATATAGACTTGAGTGTATTAGGTAAAGTAAAAAGTTAGCACTATTAAAACACAGTGATCTTAACTCGTTTTCTCCAATTGAAAACCATTTCTTTTTTTTTTTTTTTCTATTTCTTAATTTGATTAGAAATGACAGTGGTTTGGGGAGAAATGTATGCCTTCTGCATACATTTAATGAAATCATTTGAAGTAGGTATAACAAATGCCAAAAGTTGCTTACAGTATTATCTTAATGTATTTGTATATTCCAGTGAATTCTATTTACATTCACTCCAAAAATCCAACAGAAATTTTGAAGCCATTCAGCAAGGTTATTTGGATGCTTTTCTATATTTCCTCTCCTTTTTGTGTGATGGATCCCAGTTTAGATTCTCTGTAGTCTCTTCTGATACCTAAAACGGGTGGGTTCCAAAAAGATGGGCTATGTTCAAATCTCTGCTTGTTGCTTTTTACTTCTGACAAGTAAAATTCTTTAGATCATAACTATTAACTTCTCTATAGTAGTTCTGTTGTAACCTTAGAAAAGCTGTCGCTCAAATTTCTGTTGTCATTTTAATCAGCCCATTAAAATATTTTATTTAATTCTTCCTCACTTGGTTGCATGGTACTTAAGACCTCTTTTGCAGGCCTTCTCAAAGGTCAAGAAAATGCATTTTTATTTTTAATTTGGTTTTTCTGACTTTGGAGTTTTCTTATTACAACCACTTAGTCAAAAATTATTTTGCATCAAATGGTGGAGTCTGGTTGGTTGGTTACCAGACATTGTAATTCGTATTAGGTGACAAAATGGGAATTAACAAAGAGATAGATGTATTCCATTTTATTACTTCCATAATATTCGTGGTTGCTGGTTATCATTAGTCTCTTTCTGCTAGATATGGTAACCTATGATCTTCTCTTTGGTGCAAGAATATTTCTTGATATTCTGGGGAAGTTATTTATTTTCTATTCTGCTATTGTAAAGTAGCCAAGGACTTGTAACTATGTAGTAGTGTTTGATTAAGACAGATGCCTGGAGAACTAAATATGTCTGAAATAAAATGAGCAAGCCATCCAAGAACAGTAAACCAGTTGGTAAGGTGTCGAGTATTACTAAATGTTCCAGTAGTTAATTTTGAAGGGTTTTAAACACCTGGAAACTAATAGCATAGATTCATGGCAATATTTTCTTAAAAATAAACCTATACTTTTAAACAGAACTGACCATCAATTATCTGATATAACTTTGGTAGGATGCTTCAGAGGCGGGGGAAAAAAGAAAAGAGATTCAGATGTCTCACATTATGAAATCTTCATTGGGGGAAGGCAAACAATTTGAGAATTGTTGTTGCTTCTTGGTGAAAGCTTCTTGCTTCTTGGTGGTACTTTGCCTTTTTGTGGTGTAATAAGGAGAGATGCAACAAGAAAGGGAGAAGACTTGTTTCGACAATAGTGGCTTCAATGTAGTGAAAATAAAGACCAATCTTCAGGAAGAAATTAAAACTTCTACTCCATAACAGCTTTATTGATTTTATTAGTTTTATAAAAGTCCTGTTACAGTGTTACATATACATTTTGCTTTTAAGTGGGGAGACCTCCTGGCCCATATAACTGATGTAATTGAACTGTCAGCTGAATTGTTAGAGTTGTTGTGCACGTAAGCCAGAAGAAAACCACTGCAAATAATACTGAAATTAAGCGACTGTCCAGAAATCACAATAGAGAGTGAAGCTAAAATAATGTCTTGATCTTAAAAGGCATCATTACTCCAACTTATGTGTTATTAGACAGAGCACTTAGCTATAAGTAAATAGTCATAATGGGATTTTGGCAGACAGAGGCAGCTACGCTCTGTTTAAAGTTGCTTAACGCTTTCTGTTAAGAGTCTTTTTGTTCTGCTAGCATGGGAAAAATAGACATATTTGCTTCTACTTCATTGAAGTATTCATATTTCAGTAAAGGATTATGATGTAATCCACTTTGCAGTGGACTTGGAATTTGGCACTGGGATGGTGCAGGTGTCAGGAATGGATGAATTACACGGGCCTTGTCGTGTACGCCTCTGAGCATCTCATGTAATACGTGTGCAGTCTTACCTTAAGAATTACAGCACTACTTATTTAACAAAATAAAGAGGTTGTAAGTATAATCTCTATTTCGTGAGATTTATATGCTTGGCACACAGTGGTAAAGTGGCAGAGGCAAAGAGTTGCCAGAGGAGAAAGAACTTTGTACAGTGTGTGGTATCTCATGGGTAGGTCAGCTAGGCCTTACCTT